CCTCCCCCCGTACACACACACACCCCCCCCCCGTACACACACACACACACACACACACACACACACACACACACACACACACACCTTCCCCCCGTTAGGGCTACCAAATTAATTCCGCAGTTGCCAGACACAAAATTCACATGTAAAAATCAGTTGTTTTAATACATTAGCAAATGAGCAAATTGAAGAGGAAATTTAAAAAGCAATTCCACTTACAACAGCATCTAAAAGAAGAATTAGGAATAAACTTGACCAAAGAGGCCAAAAATTGATACGCTGAAAGCCACACAAAACTGTTGAAAGATATTAAATAAAATCTAAATAAATGAAAAAAATCCAGTGTTCATGGATAAGAAGAGTTAAAATTGTTAAGATGTCAATGCTATCCAAAATGATTTACAATTCAATGTAATCCCTATTAAAATCCCAATGACATTTCTCTGTTCATAGATGACACAATCTTATACATGAGAAAATGACCCCAAATTACATACACACACACCCTCTCTCTCACTTGTTACAACAAATTAATTCAGCAAAGCTGCTGGACACAAAATTCACATGTAAAAATCAGTTGTGTTTCAATACATCAGCAAATGATAATATCATACTCAATATCATACTGTATTTCTTGGAGAAATAGAAAAATCCATCCTAAAAGTCACATGGAATCTTAAGAGACACTGAGTAACCAAAACAATCTTGAAAAAGAACAAAGTTGGAAGACTCACACGTTGTGATTTCAAAAGTTACAACACAACTACAGTAATCAAAACAGTACTGACATAAGGACAGACACACAGACACATGGAATAAAATAGAAAGCTCAGAAATAAACTTTCACTTTTAACAAGGGTGCCAATACCATTCAATGGCGAAAGGACAGTCTTTTCAACGAATAGTGGTGGGAAAACTGGATATCCAATTCAAAATAATGAGGCTGGGCCCTTACCTTATACTTTGTACAAAAATTAACTCAAAATGAATCAAAGATGTAAACCTATAAAACTCTTAGAAGTAAGTACAGGGAAGAAACATGATGTCAGATTTGGTAATGACATCTTGGATATGACACCAAAAGCACAAGCAACAAAAGAAATAATAATTAAATTGGTCTTCATAAAATTAAAAACTTGTGGAACAAAGGACACTATCAAGAAAGTGAAAAGACAACCCACAAAATGGGAGAAAATACGGCCAGTCTTGGAACACGGGTGTGAACTGTACAGTTCCAATTATGTGCGAATTTTTTCCACCTCTGCCAGCCCTGACAGCAAGAGCAACTCCTGCTCTTCCTCAGTCTATTCAACACGAAGGTGATGGGCATGAAGACTTGTACAATGATCCACATTCGGTTAATGAATAGTAAATATATTTTCTCTTTATGATTTTTAATAACTCTTTTCTCTAGCTTACTTTAAGAATACAGTATAAAATACATATACAAAATATATGTTAGCTGTTTAAATATTAAGGCTTCTAATTAACAGTAGGCTATTAGTAAAGTTTTGTGGAAATCAAAAGTTATAAGCAGACTGAGTGTTGAGGCTCATGCCTGTAATCTCAGCACTTTGGGAGGCTGAGGCAGGAGGACTGTTTGAGACCAGAAGTTCAAAACCAACTTGGACAACATAGCAAGACCCTGTCTCTAAAAAAAAAAAAATTTCGAGGTGTGGTGCATGCCTGTAGTCCTAGCTACTTGGGAGGCTGAGACAGGAGACCACTTCAGTCCAGGAGTTACAGGCTGTAGTTAGCTACGATCTTGCCACTGCACTCCATCCTAAGCAACACTGCTGGACCTTGTCTCAAGAAAGGAAAAAAAAAATTAGTTACACGCAGATTTTTGACTGCACAGGTGTTGGTATCCACCACCACCACTTGTTCAAGGATCAACTGCATTTGTAAGTCATATATCTCATAAGAATTTAGTATCTAGAATACATAAAACTCCTACAATCCAGCAGCAAAATAAACAACCCAATTTAAAAAATGGACAAGGGGTTGGGCATGGTGAATCATGCTTGTAATCCCGGCACTTTGGGAGGCCAAAGTGGGAGGATCACTCTGGCCCAGGAGTTCAAGGCCAGCCTGGGTTACCTAGCGAGACCCTGTGTCTACAAAATAATAATTAGCCAGGTGTGGTGGTGTGTGCCTGTAGTACTAGCAATATGGGAGGCTGAGGCTAGAGGATCCCTTGAGCCTAGGAGATTGAGGCTGCAGTGAGCTTACGATCATGCCACTGCATTCTAGCCTGGGCGACAGAGTGAAGCCTTGTGTTTAAAAAATAAAACAACAACAAGTTTTAAAAATTTAAAAAAATAAATGGATAAATGACTAGAATGGCTACTTCTTCAAAGATACACAAATGGTCAATAAATAAGGACATGTAAAGATGTTCAGTATCGCCGGCCATTAGGGAAATGCAGATCAAAATCACAAAGTGACACCACTTCACACTTACTAAGAATGCTATTATTCAAAAGAAGACACTGATGCGACCAACAAACATATGAAAAAAAGCTCATCATCACTGGTCACTAGAGAAATGCAAATCAAAAGCACGATGAAATACCATCTCACACCAGTTAGAATGGTGATCATTAAAAAGTCAGGAAACAACAGATGCTGGAGAGGATGTGGAGAAACAGGAACACTTTTACACTGTTGGTGGGAGTGTAAATTAGTTCAACCAGTGTGGCGATTCCTCAAGGATCTAGAACCAGAAACCCATTTGACCCAGCAATCCCAATACTGGGTATATACCGAAAGGATTAGAAATCATTCTACTCTAAAAACACATATGGCCGGGCATGGTGGCTCAAGCCTGTAATTCCAGCACTTTGGGAGGCCGAGACGGGCGGATCACAAGGTCAGGAGATCGAGACCATCCTGGCTAACACGGAGAAACCCCGTTTCTACTAAAAAAAAAAATACAAAAAAACTAGCCGGGCGAGGTGGCGGGCGCCTGTAGTCCCAGCTACTCGGGAGGCTGAGGCAGGAGAATGGCGTGAACCCGGGAGGTGGAGCTTGCAGTGAGCCGAGATCCAGCCACTGCACTCCAGCCTGGGCGACAGAGTGAGACTCCGTCTCAAAAAATAAAAATAAAAATAAAAAAGACACATACACATGTATGTTTATTGCAGCACTATTCACAATAGCGAAGACTTGGAACCAACCCAAATGTCCATCAATGATAGACTGGATAAAGAAAATATGGCACATATACACCATGGAATACCATGCAGACTTTAAAGGGTAAGTCACGTCCTTTGCAGGGACATTCTCAGCGAGCTAACACAGGAACAGAAAACCAAACACCACATGTTCAGTCATAAGTGGGAGTTAAACAATGAGAACACCTGGACACAGGGAGGGGAACATCACACACCGGGGCCTGTTGTGGGGTAGAGACAAGGGGAGGGATAGCATTAGAAGAAATACCTAATGTAGATGACGGGGATGGGTGCAGCAAACCACCATGGCACATATATACCTATGTAACAAACCTGCATGTTCTGCACATGTATCCCAGACCTTAAAGTATAACAATAATAAAAAAAGAAAAAAAAACAAGTGTTCATGAGGGTGTGGAGAAATTGGAACCTTGTGGATTGCTGGTAAGAATGTAAAACTGCAGCTGCTATGGAAAATAGTTTGGCAGTTCCCCAAAAAGTTAAACATAAAATTACCATATAATCCAGCAAACATTCCTAGATATTATACATACCAGACGAACTAAAAGCAGAGACCCAAATGATACTTTTATGCAAGTGTCCATAGCAGCATTATTCACATATGCCAAAAGGTGGAAACAATCCAAATGGCCATCAATAGATCAATGGATAAACAAAATGTAGTATATCCATACATGGAATATCATGCAGCCATATAAATAAATGAAATTCTGATACATCCTACATAATAGGAACCTTGAAAACATTAAGTTGAAGTGAAAGAAGCCAGATCCAAAAGGAAACACTGTATATGATTTCACTTAGGAGGTACCTAGAATAGGCAATTTCAGAGAGACAGAAAGTAGAACAGAAGTTCATCAGGGACTAGGGGAGAACAAATGGTATGTGATTGTTTCATAGGTACAGGGCTTTTGTTTGAGATAAATAAAAAGCTCTGAAAATGGATGCACAACACTTCATGTCCTTAATGGCACTGGAATCGTATACTGAACAATCATTAAAAACTATAAAATTATATTAGGTATATTTTACCATAAAAGACACTGTAAAAAATCAACAAAAGGAATAAATGCAAACCCTAACCTAGATAAGCCGACTCCACAACTCATCTGAGGAGCCACTACAGTGTGATGCGGTGCTTGAGATGACAGGTTCTGAAGCTGCACAGCCTAGGTCAATCCTGGCTCTACCCTTTCAGAGCTGTGTAACCTTCACACAGTTGCAAGATGCTTCATCTCTGTGGTTAGGGTCCCCACATTCACATGGAGACAACAGTGTCTTTCTCACAAGATTGTGCAAAGATTAATTAGTTAATTCACTTAAAGTCTTAAGGGCCTTATGATGAGTGAAATCATATAAAGCACCCAGAAATTAGGATGAACTATTATTGTTACTATCTAAATGTATCAGTCACACATTCAAAGTTCAATACAAAATGCCTTTAATCTGTGTCTATTTTGTGTTCAAATTCAGAAAACACCTAATAATAATCAGCAAATTTTCAGATGTACAGGTTAGAAAAACTTTATCATTATATTTCTATTTGCTAACTCTATATGCTTTCCTAGTCTCCAGATTTCAGAAGGTAGCAAGAAACATTTATACATTAATTATCCTTCACTGTTCTTTCAATTTATGATAATCATGTGAACTTGTTTGAAGTTGCAACGACTAAGAAATTTAAATGTACAGAAGATTAACAGTGGTATGTTTGCTCTAACTAAAATTGACAGTAGACATTCATTCTTGTTATACATGTCTAATTAAAATTTAAAAATTTCATTTAAAAACACATTATATACTTACCAACTGAAGATAGAAATCTCCAGGACTATTTATATGACAAACCGTTACTGAAACATCTGTCATTTCTTTAGGCAAAATAGGTGGATGATAGTGTAAAGTAGTATTTTTTTCAAAATGACTTCTTAGTGATTGTGACTTAAACCTAATTAAAAGCATAATGAAAAGCGTAAGCAGGGTCTCACCTTGTCACCCAGCCTGGAGTGCAGTGGTGTGATCATGGCTCACTGCAGCCTCTACCCTTCTGGGCTCAAGCAATCCTCCCACCTCAGCCTCCCAAGTAGCTGGAACCACAGGGGCATGCCACCACACCTGGCTAATTTTTGTAGGGACAGGGTCTCCCTACATTGCCCAGGTTGACCCTGAACTCCTGGGCTCAGGCGATCTTACTGTCTTGGCCTCCCGAAGTGCTGGGATACAGGCGTAAGCCACCATACCTGGCCAAGCCATTTTCTTAATCTCTCTTCTCTCAGTGACTTGATCTAAAGGAAGGAGTTGCACATGTACTGACTTATTTACCAAAAGCATTCATCTTCTAATTTCTTTCTTCTATTATTTCTCGGTATTGTCTTCAATTATCAAACCAGGTTAAAAAGGTATCAAGTCTCAAAACTTTAGAGCTGGGCTTTCACATCATACTTAGATTCAAAGCTGCTTCTGTTCTTTGTGTTACATTGATATCTGTGGTCTGTGGTAGCAATTGGTGATGTCAGCTGAAGGGTCTCTGTGGCCCCCTCCAGCTCCAAGATGACTTTTATTTTTCTAGAATGGAACCTGCTTGGGTTCCATTCCCAATCATCCAGGGTAAAAATTAGAATCTTTGACTACCTCTATGGTTACTTAAGTCATCAGAAATGATGGACAGGCAGGGCACTGTGTCTCACGCCTGTAATCCCAGCACTTTGGAAGGCCAAGGTGGGCAGGAGTTCAAGATCAGCCTGGACATCACGGTGAAACCCTCTCTCTGCTAAAAACACAAAAATTAGCCAGGAGTGGTGGTGTGTGCCCGTAATTCCAGTTACTTTGAAGGCTGAGGCATGAGAATCACCTGAACCTGGGAGGCAGAGGTTTCAGTGAGCTGAGGCTGTGCTACTACACTCCAGCCTGGGTGACTCTGTCTCAAACAAACAAAAAGAAATGATGGACAAATAAACTTTAAACATCTGTTCTAGATTCATACATTAAATATAGGGTAGTGATCATGAACTCATTCCAAAGGCTAGAAAATTTAGGAAAAGCTGTAATTCTTGAAACCCTCATACAGCTGCTTATAAAGTTATCAAGAGTTCAAAAGATGTTAGTTATTTACACATACTTTATATTTTGAGCTACCTTAATTTCTCTAATTTTTCTAATTTTCTTTTTTCTTTACAGACAGGGTCTCACTCTGTTACCCAACCTGGAGTACAGTGACAAGAGCACAGCTCAAACTCCTGGGCTCAACAAACCTCCCACCTCACTCCTGACCGGAGAAGCTGGACTACAGGTGCAGGCCCCCAGGCCTGGTTAATTTCTTTCTGTACGTCTTTGTAGAGATGAGGTCTAGCTATGTTGCCCAGGCTGGTCTCAAACTCATGACCCCAAGGAATCCTCCCTCCTTGGCCTCCCACAGAGCTAGAATTACAGTTAGGAGCCGCTCTGTCCAGCCTATTTTCTTAAATCCAATGATCTGAATCCAGTTTTCACAGACAACAACTGTACTTAGAAAAGTCTAAAAGCAGTATTTTTAACTTCTTCAGGTATGTTAAGGTTTACTTTAGAGACATGGTTTTTAAAGGCAAAGTCTGTTACTTATTTATAGCTATAATCTCAAAGAATATTTAAGTTTTAATAAGTTACTTACTTTGCTAGTTCCATAAAAACTAGTGCATCTCTAAGAGACACAGGCATATCACTGCTTATTTTATTTGGTGGTGGTTTTTGCAGATCTACAATAAGCACACCATCTTCTTCTCTAAAAACTTTCATTGAAACAGCCTTGTTATTAACCATTTTCAAAAATTCCACTTTAGCTTCCTCTTCCCAGCCTTCATTCTGGGCAAAAAAGTAAAATTCCATAGTAATTAGTAATTGTAAGTGTCTCTAATGTTACAATGTTCTGGATTTAGGTTTGTACCAACCACAGACGCAACTGTGAGCAAAATGAACCAACCACAGACATTAAGAAACAGCCAGGGAAGGCCGGGTGTGGTGGCTCACGCCTGTAATCTCAGTACTTTGCAAGGCCGAGGTGGGCAGGAGTTCAAGATCAGCCTGGCCAAGATGGTGAAACCCTGTCTCTACAAAAAATACAAAAATTAGCTGGGCGTGGTGGCGGGTGCCTTTAATCCCAGCTATTCGGGAGGCTGAGGCAGGGGATTGCTTGAACCCGAGAGGCAGAGGTTGCAGTGAGCCCAGATCATGCCACTGCACTCTAGTCTGGGTGACAGAACAAGATCCCATGTCAAAAAAAAGAAAAAAAGACAAGAAAGAAAAAAAGAAACAGCCAGGGCCACAAACTTAGGGGCAGTCTTTATGAATGTACAATGTGCATATACCTTCACTTTATAAATATATTCTCAAGGTTTTACTTTAGAATTTAGTTTTACTTTTGAATAGGAATATGAAGGTTATAAACAAAGATCTCAAAATCAAAGAAATAAGTATTCTATTTTCCACTTAGATGAAAATTCAAAAGGTAATTTTGAAAATATAGGTATGGCTAAAAAAAAATTTAAAAATTTACAATCATCATCAGTTAATCCAGTTTCCATTACTAGCAATACATAAGATTTATGCTACTTAAGTGATTTTAAAAAAAAAATCCACTCACTGGGCAAAAAAATTTTCTTTTGAGACAGGGTCTTACTCTGTCACACAGACCGGTACGCAGCGGCATAATAGCTCATGCAATCTCTGCCTCCCAAGCTCAAGCGATCCTTCCACATCAGCCTCCATGGTGTATCACCATGCCTGGCTAGTTTTTGTATTTTTGGTAGACAGGGTCTCGCCATGTTGCCCAGGCTGGTCTCAAACTCCTGAACCCAAGCAATCCTCCCACTTCAGCCTCCTAAAGTGCTGGAATTACAGCCTTGGGCCACCACACCCAGCCAAAAAAGTTTTTATCTTGATCTTTGAACATTTAAGTACCATATCGAAAGTAAATTCATGATCAAAACCAGAAATTCCTTAAAAACAAAAAAAAGAGAATAGCTTTCTGAACTTCTCATGATTATAAATGTAAAATCCACTCAGTGTAAAAAATGCAAGAAGTTAAAAAAGAGAAAATTAAAAACAAAACACCATTTTAAAGAAAACACCAGTGCTATTACTTCTGTGTTTCCTTTTTTTATTAACTTATTTGTTATTTCAAATATGTATTGAATGCCTTCTATGTGGCAGGTGATCTGCTAAATGCTGGGAATACAACGATGAGCAAAGACAGACTCCTGCTCTCACAGACCTTGTAAGATAGAACTGCTTAACATGTATTATTACAATTTCTGTCTCTTAAGAGTTTACAATCTTGCTGGAGAACAGATTTTCATAAATAATACAAAACGCAGAATGCAACATGGCCATTAAATAGAGTAATAAAGGGCAATGGAAATAAGAAAATACTGTAGAGAAACACACACCACACCACAAACTTATTTCTCTGGACAGTTGACTCCAAAATTACTGGTTTGCTTGGATTCTTAAACAATCATTATGTTAATATATGCTTATTCAACTCAATTTTCCATTAAAAATATTTTCAATTGTGGAAACTGAAGTTCATTTCCTTTTCTATTAGAAATAGTAGTTTAATATGCACTGTGTATTTACCAAGATTAGTGGTTCCCTGAGGCTATACTTAGCAATCTAATTGGCAACACATAGCTACAATTGTAACAGCCTCTGAAGGAAAAAATAAAGTCTCACTTACTGAATTCTGTGGAACAATGTCTTTCAATGAGCATGGTTGTGCTAATGGCTGCATGTCTTTTAGCAGCCCTTCAATATATGGTTCAGATTTCCTTAGAATCAGACATAAATCATTTAGTGCAATATGTTGTTTAGCAGAGTGTTCCGGTCTCACATGGGTATCAACAACTCTAGGAGAAATTCAAGTAATATTTATTAAAAGTAAAGTTTCAAACTTAAATGTGTTTTCCCCCACAGAAGGTATGCATTTCTAAGTATAATTTTTCTTAAGTTACACTTTTTAGAAAGTTACATTCCAAATTCACACTTTCTTACTATATAGATTTAGTTTAGCTTCTATAAGCAGAGATACTGTTTTCTTCCACAGAATGAAATCTCAGCTACATTTGTACTTTCATATATTCATTCAATCTGAGCTTACAGGAGATAATGACACTTCCCCCCATATAAATCTATTTATTTATAAAGCTATAACCACTAAGCAATCATGCTATGGTTAATACTGGTCCTTACTACAGAAACATAGCAGTTTGTATTATTTTCCTAGAAGACAGAGAAAACCATTTAAAATACTGACTGAGTTAGACAGCATGACACTTTAAAAAACATTAATGAAATTACAGAAGTCTGATTAAAAATTTAACTCAATCATCTATAGCTAACTGTAACATTTTATTTAAAAGAATTAGTTTGTGTATTATTCCCCGCTTAGAAGTGACATAAGAAGAGTACTTAAGTTTGGAATTCCTTTTCTAAGCTCTCCATCTAGTAATACTGGTAAATGATAAAATTTTACGTATCAAGACAACTGTGGAGCAAAATAATAAAACGTGTGTCTTGGAAGTTAAGAATGACAAATTACTTCTCTCTACCTCTAATTTCCTTTATTCTTTGACTCCACCTTCCTCCAAAATGTTTCTAAGCAGGCCAAGAATACATATTATAAAATATCATACCCTGTGACAATCAGGACTTCAGAATTTCCAAAATCTACCATGAATATTTGTATTAGTGCAACTTCATGGACAAATAATCTGGTTGGGCTACAAGGTTTTCTGGTATTTTTACCCTCTATTGGAATTAATTCTGTGATAGTTCCTCGACACCACATTCCATTTTTAATACTGTTGACAAATATTCTTGCACCTAAATGAGGGAAACAAATCATTATCAACATTTATCAAGAAAGACATTTAGTAAGTTTACAGACACGTTAGTTCTACCACGAAAGTCTTAATTCATTTATTTACTGATGATATACCACTGTGTTCAAGTGCTATGAGGATATAATACAGCATATAATGATAGTTTGTTATACAGAAACAAGCTAAATAGGGAGATAAACATCCAAATACTAAGTTAGCAATCACTTAATGAGGACCTGCTTCATCAGCAACAAGAACAAAGATGAATGAGACTGTCTTGCCATCAAGAAGGCTCAAGAAAGGAAGAGAGACAAGCAAATTACCACAATTACACTGTACTTACAAGCAATACCATCTGTCCTTGTGCATGTACACATGTACACTTACTGACAAACACATACTGAAGTTCGTAATGCGAGAAGAAACAATTATCTTCTCTTTGTAAAGGAGAGTGAGAGTAAAACAATGAAAGGCAGCTTGTGAAATGCCAAAATTAATTGGCACCCAGTGGTGTTCAGAGAAGAGGGAAGATGAATTAAGGACTCAGCAGTAGAGGAAGACCTTTGCAGGGACCAGTTGAATTACAAATTAATAACCAGGAAAAAAGAAGATCAAACAAACAAAAAAAGGCCCACAGGTGAATGCTTACTATGAGCTCAGAAATGTTCTGTTTTGTCTGAATTCACTTACTCCCCACAACAGCCCTACGAAGGTAGTGTTTCCATCATATAAGTGAGGAAACTGAGGAAGAAAAACTAATCTAGCCCAACTCACATGGCTACTTAGAAGTAGCAGCAGGAGAACTCAGGTAGTCTTAGAGCCCATTTAAACTACATATTTTGGAAATAATCTGGTAAACTCTGATCACTGATTATATACAGAGAGATGCTGTGTAATCTCCTCTGTATACGCTAATAACAACAGGAATAGTTGAAAAGCACATTACAGGCAGCCTTTTAAGTCCTACCAAAACGTTTGGTCTTCAGTTTGTCAGTGACCCTTCTCTTATTTTGCTACACTACTGTACCAACATTCTTAGTTTTAAAATATAGCAAATCCCCACTTAATGTCATTGATACATTCTTAGAAACTGTGACTTTAAGCAAAATGGCATAACAAAACCAATCTTACCACACAGGCTTATTAACATAAACAAGAGTTAAGTTTCCACATGTATTTCTGGTCACAAAAATATCATCAAACTTATAAAGACCCCAAACACTTCTAATATTAAATACTGAAACAAGTGTGAGCTACACGTACATTTAAGAAAGATGAACAAGAAAGATATTTATTCAATTTTTGGTGAATCAGTGAGTGATGGCAGTCATAGTGGTAGTGGGTTAACTCAAAGAATTACAGCTTGCAAAGTGAGAATTGTGAGGAGTACCTCCTGGCGCCACAGTTCAAAAACAATCATAAATGAGGTGGATTCACAGAGCGCTTTTGTACTGCATGATTTATTGTCATGCATTTGTATAGTTATCAAATACTTTATGAATTTTATGATAATATAAATGTATTTATTCATTCTCCAACTCGCTTATTCTAGAGTCGAGGGTGGCTAAAGCCTATTCAGGCAGTTCAGGGCACAAGGTAGGAACCCATTCTGGTCAGAACACCATTCTGTCGCAGGGTAAACACACACACACTCTCTCTCTCTCTCCCTCCTCCCCTTCACCCCCCCACCCGCCACTCAGACTGGAACAATGTAGACACATCAATTAACCTAATGTGTGCATCTTTAGGATGTGCAAGGAAACCAGAGTACCTGAAAAAACCCACACAGACACGGGCAGAATGTGTAAACTCAACACAGACATTTGCCCAAACCAGGAATTGATTTTTTTCTCATCAAAATTATAATGAGATGTTATTTGAAGACCTGCTGTACATATTCTATAAAACTCTTCTTTCTTTCAATGGATAAAAGTCTGCTGAAGCCATTTATTGTTCTTCATAATGAAGTACAGAGGCAGGAAAAGGGAACAAGAGGATACTCTCCTTTCCTAAATCAACAATTCACGTTTCTTTCCTTATCACTAATTTCTCAAAATATGAGTGTTTTAATCAGCTATATTTACCTTGCCAACATAATTATCATTAACAACTTAAAGCACAGCCTTTTGGCTTTCTTAGAACATTTTCTGAAAATAAGCTGAGTTATTTTTGGCATGTATTACATTTTAGACATATTATCTGCAACCGCAAAAATTAAATTCAGTACTACACTTTCCTCCACTTAGATACTAACAACCTAATATTCCTAGCTCACATGGCATAAAATAAATGTTATTTTTTAAGTTTTAGAATTACTATTCATTTTTGTCAAAGTATATGATGATCCTACTCTTCTGATATCCTGAAAGGCTATACAGATGAGCTGAGAGTGAATCACACTTTTAAACAACTTATCAATCAAGACTAGACAGATAAAACACTTTCAGTATTAGTTACACATAGGTATTGATTGCTATTAACATAATGAGAAAAATACTCTATTAATACAAACGAATCATAGCTTCATCATATTTTAAGGTACAATCAAATTCAGTCAACAACGTTATAAGAAAAATACTCGTAACAAAAGCCTGAAGCATGGCAAATTCACATGTCCTCACAACTAAAAGACTGACTGAATTTGCTATTACTCTCTGTAGGGCACTGGGAATGGGTGCCACGGGCCTCCTGAATCTTAGGTGCTCAATGCTAGCCCCAACACTCACAACGGCGAGCAAGAGACTGGAGTTACACAAGAAGAATCATCTTAGAGGCACAGTTCTTCATAGAGACAAGGGGACAGGCTACATAACCTGTTACAGGTTTTGTAGTTTTAAAAGCAATTCGCCCTACTATGTAATGGAGTTTCTGTACATATTTCACTCTAAAAATATGCCAACATTCCATCTTAATCCTTAGCTAATTTGCCTAAATAATTTATGTTAAATAATCCTAAAACTTTTATGCTTACTAACAAATGAACTTAAGACTAAAAATCTATATTATAACAAGTCTTATGTGGGTTGGCCAAGTTATTATAATATTTAAATAAATTTGATATTTTAACTTGGACTAATATTTCATTACCTAGTTCCAAAATGTCTGAAGGATCAAGGTGTGAACTCCTATTGCAAAATTCATTCACCTTCTTCTCCAGTACTTTTGCGTCTTTGATTTGTGAATACTTCCGAATGTAGAAATGGCAAGGATCTATTACATGGCTTACAAAAACTAGCTCTGCGGAACCTGGATAAAAATGTTTAAATCACGTTAATAAATCATGAGTTAGAAAATAATTCACAAAAGCTGAACAACTGCTAATAGCCTCTAAAAGAGTGTCTTATGGCATTGTGAACTCTGGGAATACTGCACGTAGGCCCCAGGAAGTAGTCCAAGCACTAAATGATTGATAAAACAAATGGATCACTTTCAACAATGAATTCTTTAGTAACCTGAACTATAAATACTTCATATTACTTGCAAAATATGCTAAATAAGTGGAATCATAGTCCATGTAATAGTTAAGATTCTAAAGTCTGCGTATATGCTGTAACTCTACTGTATTACAAAAGTTCAGTTTATTTATGAACATATTTGGAACTCAGAACCCCTACTGATAATGATTAGGTTTCTAGGATAGCCTATAAAACCCACTTCCATCTATACCCTACCTATAGAACCAATACAGCTCATAGCCACTCTGACTCCCAAGTCTTATAAATCAGGTTAGTCTTATAAATCAGATGTGAAAAAATGTTTAGGCAAAGCCGAAGCACTAAGCAGCATTTAGGGGAACGTGCGTGCTTTTCGGTGGGGCAAGTAGAGGTAAAGACAGTCAGAAAATTTTCTTAAGTCAAGTGTCTTCACTAATATGAAAAGATCTCCAAAGTATAATGTTAAGGAAGGAATGCAAAAAACAAAACAGTGGTATGCTGCGTTTTGTGTATAAAAAAGAACCCCCGCTGTCCACATAGAGAGAGAGAGGGAGAGAGAAGGTTGGAAAAATAATTTGTGTGTGTTTATTTGTAAATGCATAAGGAAAATCTGGAAGAGATGGAGACACTGAATAGAATGGGAGTAGGATGGGGGGAAGTTTCACATAATATTTTAATATATATTTAATTTTTGAATGAGGTAAATGTTTACATGGTAAAACTGTTTAAAAAACAAAGACTAGGAGGAGTAGAAATGAATATAGCCAAGTATAGACAGATGACAGAAACTGAACAAATGCATCATTTTAACTATCCAATAGAAAATATAAAGAATAATGCCCATATTTAGGGTGGGATAAAAAGACAAATACATACAACTGGGGTGGTATCTGAGAGAAGCATAAATTTTGGAAATATTCCTAGCTGGGCACGATGGCTCACGCTTATAATCCTAGCACTTTGGAAGGCCAAGGAGGGAGGATCGTTTGAGGACAGGAGTTTGAGACCAGCCTAGCCGACATGGTGAAACTCCATCTCTACTAAAAATACAAAAATTAGCTGAGCGTGGTGGTGCATGCCTATAATCCCAGCTACTCCGGAGGCTGAGGCACGAGAATCATTTGAGCCTGAGCAGGTTGCAGTGAGCCAAGATCATGCCACTGCATTCCAGCCTGGGAAATAGAGTAAGATTCTGTCTCAAAAAATATTTTTTTGTTGGGGGGAATATTTCTGCCACAGTCAAAACATTCATTTATTCATTCATTCGAGATGAGGTCTCACCTGTTACCCAGGGTGGAGTGCAGTGGTGTGACCTCAGTTCATTGCAAGCTCTGCCTCCCAGGCTCAAGTGATCCTCCTACCTCAGCCTCCTGAATAGCTGAGACCACAGCTGCGCACCACCACACCCACTTATGTTTTTGTATTTCTTTGTAGACACAGGGTTCACCATGTTGTCCAGGCTAGTTTCGAACTCCTAAGCTCAAATCATTCACCCGCCTCGGCCTCCCAAAGTGCCGCAATTACAGGTGTGAGTCATGGTGTCTGGCCCCAGAATTAAAACTTTTAACATTAGAAAGTAGTATGTTTTAGTTATCAGTGAAATTCACTTTACTTACTACCTCACACGAGGTAAGAGTTACTACACATACAGTAAACTCCACTACATCAAGCTCAGACAGTTGTTACAGTACCTGCTTTTGATCCAAAAGGAACAGATGAGTTTTTCTGAAGCAGCTTTTTTGGATATCTAGGTGTCTCCCCAAGATCATCGGTGCTGCATGCTTCATCAAAATAAGAAATAAAGACAACTTGTACTAACTATGTTAATGTTAACAATGACATGCTAGTTTTTAAAAACCTGTACTGAAACTGGCAAAATACTGGAATGGCAACACCCATTGTATCAGTGAATAAAGTTATTACAGGTATCTTAAGTAACTGAGACAACAATGATAATACAGTGGAAAGAAGTGTGTTTTTAAAAATGTAATTCTGGAGAGTCAACCAATAAAACAGACAACAGGTAGGGGAAAATAAAAGCTGATCTTGAAAAATGGTCTTAAAGGAGACTATCAGTATAAAACTACATAGTAGAGTATCTGACTCCATGTTAATGGAAAGAATACTGACATGGGAAATGTAATTAAATACAACTGTGATATATTTAAATGTTATAAAATAGACAACATTACAATCATGATAGTTTATATTAATTCTCATAACAAAGATTGAAGATGTTCTTAATTCAAAGAAAGTAATAAGACTATGTCCACAAATCACATCTCTCTCATTTATTTATATCTTTTATACAAGGCTTATATGTGAGAACACTAAAAAATCTCAAAATACCCTAATTAAACCAGATATTAATTTATACCTCAGAGGTTAGCTATATTACTGCATCAAAAATAAAAATTATCCAGCTCTGGAAAATGTGAGGGGAGGGGCATGGAATGAACAGGTTTTAACTCATAATGAGGAATAAGATTATAACAGGCCGGGCGCGGTGGCTCAAGCCTGTAATCCCAGCACTTTCGGAGGCCGAGACGGGCGTATCACGAGGTCAGGAGATCGAGACCATCCTGGCTAACACGGTGAAACCCCATCTCTACTAAAAAAATACAAAAAAACTAGCCGGGCGAGGTGGCGGGCGCCTGTAATTCCAGCTACTCGGGAGGCTGAGGCAGGAGAACGGTGTAAACTTGGGAGGCGGAGCTTGCAGTAAGCCGAGATCCGGTCACTGCACTCCAGCCTGGGCAACAGAGTGAGACTCCATTTCAAAAAAAAAAAAAAAAAGAGAGAAAAAAAAAGATTATAACAGCAATTATGTTTCGTTAAATGCATGGTCGAAAAAGGTACCAACTGTGTCTAATTACAGATACAAGATGTTTCCCTCCTGCTTTTGCATTTTTACTTACTTTCCATGTTATCTTCAATAATTTCTTCAATTATCACATCAGGGCTAGATCCCATCTGAGGTAACACAGCAATGGTTTTAGAGGATGCTGTTGCAACAACGTCTTTCTGTGGCTGGAAGATTTTTGCTTCTAAATGTACATCATTTGTCTCAGGTTGCAAAGGAGGTGGTGGTGCTTCATTGGTTACGACAGACATGTCAACCTTTTTCTTTTCTAGTGGTGGGTATGTATCATAACAAGAAAGTCCCTTTTTGTTACTATATTTCTTTTGAATATTCTGTCTAATTTCATTTTCTTGGGGATAACATCTGTTTAAAAATGCAGAGACATAAGCTTATGAATACAGAGGTATATGGTACAACCATAAGTCACTAGAATCTTCCACCATGGCCATTAATCTGAATCTTTTGGGCATGATTATTCAATAGCCACTAACCCACTGCCAGTTATTTATCCATTCTACTCCATATTTTTCTATTTTCTCCACATACCCAGATGGTTTTTAGGCTATCAAATCTACAAGTATAGAAATTTTACAATGAGATAAGATTGGGTTTCATGAAGTTTATATTTTAGCTATTCCATGATGGATTTAGCTTATTCACAGATCACTGTTTAACAGGGCACTGTGGAAATAACGACCAACAAAGCCAGTTGGGCTTAGCAATGATACATGTTTATCTGCCTCTTCCAACAGAGGACATACATTTAACTAAGTAAAATTGATATATGTTGAAGTCCAAATACCTGAGAGTCATATATATGTACACAACCTTGCAATCTAAATATCTCTTTTCATAACTTTTATTAGACCTGAGACATTCAACATTATTAATCAGCTCCAGTGTCATAAACCTCTGCTTTGACTTGTACGACACCACTTCTGTTCCCCTTCAACTTCTGTCTGCTCTGTCTCAAGTTCTTTTACAGATTACCCTTTCCCTGCTATAAATTTTAGTATCTTTCCAGGGTACTGTCCTTGACCTGTTTGAATACCTGCTCTTACTGTGCAAACCCATAGTTTAACTATCATTTGTAATCAGTACATGCAGGTTACAGTAATACTTTCCCTAAAAACTAAGAAAGAATTTAAAAGGCAGCTCTCAGAGTTAAATGTAAAGCAGAAGATCAGTACAGATTCTTAAACAGGCAGAGTAGTTTTTAGTGTCTTAGAAATGCTTGATTGTAACCATATTCAAGTTGTAAAAACGTCAAGAAGAACATATTGATTGCAAAGGTTGTTGATTATCCATGTAAGCATAAAGTCAAGTTACAAAAGTAAATCTGGGGCAGGGCTCTCCCAAGCATGGAGAAATATGACTGAGCCGAAGGACTGGTATTCCACTTCCTCTGGCAAAGTCTTCCCTCTGATGGAGAGGAATCTCATCAGCTATCTCACCCTAATTCTATTAAGCTATTTGATTAATTTTATTCCGTTTAATCAAAAATGATTACAAAAAAAGTAACTTCTGACAAGTTAGCTCCTCAGTTCTAGTCCCTGTTTACAATTGTATTTACCCATTAAGTTAACGAACTAGCATTTTGACTACACATCAGTTCTGTGACCTCGGCTTGTATGAACTTACCTGGCTTAGAGTATACATCATCCTATGTGCTTCTGAAATGGTAATACTGTGAGCCAGACTAATTTGTTCCCTAAGGTAACAAATGTGACACTTCTCTCGGGAGACCATTTCCATTGGAAACAATCCACCTACAATGAACCAACTTACTTCTTTATGGGGGGTTTCTACATCTATATTCTGATTACCCCTAAACCCAGACAGAATCAAGTCCAAGTTCTCCTAAGTTTCAGCATTCATATACAATTAAGCTGTACATATTTCTCCCCAGAAAGCTGGTAAACAGTAAGTACTCAACATACTATCTTCCCCCTCCCAACTTACTTTTCTTCCTGTATTCCTAATCTTGATGAATAATACCACAATCCACCGACTTAGTCACCAAAGCGAGCCCTGTAAACAAACCATTGATGATGCTTCCCTTTTCCTCATGCCTCACATTCAAACATTACTAAGTTTTATTAAATTTCCCTATTTTGCATTTGTCATATCTATTCTCAGTCCCTATCCAGTACTATTAGCTAAGTTTTAGTTCTCATGATTTGCTGAGTCTACTGATATGATGGCCTAAGTGATCCTTCAGCCTTCACTAACATCCTCTTACCCCAAACAATCCCCCAAACGGCCACCAGAATTATCCTTAAAAAATGTAATCTAATTATTTTTACTTTCATGCTTAAAACCTTTTAGTGGCTTTCTACTGCCTAGAACTCTACTGTACAACAGAACTTTTAGTGATAATGGAAATAGGCCGCATTGTCTAATATAGCAGTGCTTTGGTCCAAATGTTTCAAAATTCATGTTGAAACTTAATTCCCATTGTGGTGATATTAAGAGGTGGGGCCTTTGGGGAAATTAATAATCAAGTAATGAGGGCTGTGCCCTCAGGAATGGATTTGTGCTTTACAACAAGTCTGGACAGAACTAGCTTAGGCCCTTCTTCTTCGCTCTTCTGCTCTTCCACCGTGGGAGGACAGTTATTTGTCCCTTTTCCCTCTTCCATGCTTTCTGCCACGTGCGGGCACAGCATTCAAGGTGCTATCTTAAAGCAGAGATCAGAGCCCTCACCAAAACCAAAGCTGCCAGCACTCTGATCTTGGGCTTCTCAGCCGCCAGGACTGCAAGCAAATAAACACCTGTTCTTTATAAATTACAGAATAATAAACAACATCTGTTCTTTTTAAACTTTGTTATAGTAGCACAAATAGAATAAGACAGGTAGTCACTAATGATATGTGGCTACTGAGCACTTGAAATGTGGGCTAATGGAACTGAGGAACTGGATTTTAATTCTATTTCGTTTTAATTAATTTATGTTTAAATTTAAATAGCCACCACATTGGACAGCATGGATCATAAGGTTCAAACATCATTAGACAGCATACAAAGTCTTTAGGACTTAGCATCTATGTATCCTTGGGGACATAGAGAATGGAATTATATACACCATTCCCTGAACCTAGCATGCTATTTCACTGCCCATATATTCACTGCCCATAAGATGCCTACTTCCTTTTTCTCCTCCTTTCTACTTGCTACTTAATTTTAATAGATATGGGAAAAGAAAATACCTTTCCAAGTCCTGTTACCCCAGGAAGAACTGATCATTCCTTTGCTTTGCACCTCAAGTAAATTCTGCATACACTACCCTAGCAATTATGCATTTTATTGTTTACATGTCCTTCTTCCTCTACTTATTGTAATTTCTTTGACATTTATCTCAGTATCTAGGCTGTTAGTTAGTGCCTAGCAGTGTTCAGTGCTTGCTGACTGAATCAATCTCAAAGATAACTTTGACATGTATATTGCTGAATACTGATACCTTCTAGGCCTTTTAAAAAATATTATACATAGAATTTAACTATAGGAACTATTTTGTCCTTTATTTTTCAGCTTTTGAGTTACACTAAACATCAATTTTTCTGTCTCTTAGATAATGTAGGTACTATCAGACATTAATGGCATGTTACCATGCTTATACTTACTTTGCCGAGTCCCCAAATTCAATCTTTCCCATATTGTTGAACATACAGATGATCTCACTGCAATTCACACTCAACCTATAATAAAACATTAACATATACATAAATGTCCTAATACAAATTTACTAAGTTCTCTAAACAAAAATCAGTTGCTGACATTAATGAATTGAAAAGGAAACATTTAAATAACTTTCTAAATTAGCACAGACTATACTTAATTTGGTTGCTAACTTGGTAAACATTTGTGACCCAAAATTTCAACTTATTATTACTTGCTATTTTAATACATTTAAGTTCTAGCACATCTTTATACTTGTTATTGTCTCCTGAACCATGACTTACTCACCTGGGAGGGTTCCTTAGTTCTGGAGAACTAACTTGTGCTAATTCACTATCTGATGTTAACTTCAAAGTCCGGATAATCTAGAATTTAAAAAAAAAAAAAAAAATCATTCATGTGTGAATCTTGTCACAAATATTGCTGAACAGTAAGATTTTAGAAGTAAAATTGTATCTTTTAGGTATTTCATTAATTAATGCATTCAGGCCCAATTTGGGACACTCAAAGGGATACAAATAAGTGTTTATGCATTTTGGAGATATGTATAAAAGGTAACAATAGACACTAAGAAATAGGACAGTGTTACATGATCAGAGAAAACTGATCAGATTCATTTTGCAGCTGCATTGCTATCTTCAAGTGTTTTCTCCTTTTTTGCCCTATTTTCTTAACTAGATTAACTAGGATAAAGACCAAATGTTATCACTTTTTTCTAGTGTCACATGTGTAATTCACAGGAAACGACTACTATTGTTTTAGAACTAAAGCCTGGGACACCTAGCCAAGTAGGGTCATGGCAAATCCTTTCATTTAACGTTAGAGACTTTGGAGGCGGGTAAACTAATGGCGTCTCTTCTATACATCTGATTATCCATGGGGAGTGAGATTCTGAAGAGTCAAAGGTGACTACAGCCAAGATCTGTGCCCTTATGGAGTGAGGCAGAACTCAGCAAATACCTGTGATTAATCTTGTCCTGTCAAACTATCAGAAACATTTTTTGTTTTTTTGCCCAATTTTGCCCCTTAGGCACATGATTAGATGATAGGAGATGGCTGAAGCTGTCTCTTGACTTGCACATTTTGGGATGGAATGGGAAGAGAAAAAGTTGACTAGGATTCTGAATTAAATTTTAAAGTTAAGAGTTGACAGCCATACCTAAATTGTTAATGTGAACAAAACAGAGTCCCATTCAGTTTGCTACCCTTATTTGTCCTCATTTTTTTATTCAGGTGTCCTAGAAACCTAAACTTTAACCTCAATGTCACCTTACTTGCTCTCAGATCAAGTGTTACAAAGACTTAACTGCACTATTTCCCTAACTAGTCAAAAATAACAAAAGGCCATATAAATTTTACAATGTTTGTCTTAGATTTCAAACATTATCTTATTATAACTTAGATTATCCTAACCTATATTGTCATCAATTTAGAATTCTAAACAATAATATAGGTTAGGATAATCTGAAAAACAAATTCTTGTCTTAAATATATTCCAAAGCATGTAAAATAAGCTACCACAGACATAACTCACATTGTAAACTACTAAATTACCTGCTTCAGGTCACAGTACGTTCTCAGAGAAGGTGATAATTGTAATGCTCTTGCTATGTTCATAGCTGCATTCAAATTATTTTTTTTCTCTTCAATGTAGCTTTTAGCCTTTATTAAATTTGATAGATAATCATCAGTAGTTCTTGCAAATTCTTCACACAGGTTCTTTTTCCTTCATTTAAGATTCCAGAGTTATTTTGCAATATTTCATAAATATTTATAGAAAAGTAGATCTATAGTATCTTGAAGAGCAAGTTCAGTAGTTGATGAATTTTACATAATATGGTTAAATGAGGCATACAGTAACTGAACTGTATCTGAAAGGGTACTTTTACTTGTTGATAAAATTAACATATAACATGGTAAGTGAGGTATTAAATTGAACTGAAATGTATTACAGCTAAAAGCTATGTATACATAATTAGAGAAAAGTAAATTTTGTAGAAGGCAGGAGATCATAAGTAGAGACATACAATAGACCATCTAAGGCCTGGAGGAGAATCTGAGCTCAGACTCTTTAGGACATTAAGACATATAAAAGCAGTTGTACATACAGGGGAATTGAAAAAGCCACACTGAGGCCCAGGCAAGATGCACGCTCAGAAAACATCTGAGAAGATCTTAAGCCTGACCTCAGGCTGATCTCAAGGCTCAGGGCACACACAACCACTCAGTGAAGGACTGTTACATTAAGAGCCAGTCTGCAAAGACTGGGGAAGGTGGCTATTTTCTCAAATGCCCAATTTCAACAAAAATACCACAAGGCACACAAAGGAACAGAAAAACATGCTCAAAGGAAGAAAACAGAATAGTAAAAACAGTTCTCAAAGCAGCACAGGCACTGGACTCAATAGACAGGCTTAAAACAACTGTCTTAAATATGCCTAAAGAGCTAAAGGAAAACACAGATAAAGAACTACAGGGCCGGGCGCGGTGGCTCAAGCCTGTAATCCCAGCAGTTTGGGAGGCCGAGACGGGCAGATCACGAGGTCAGGAGATCAAGACTATCCTGGCTAACACGGTGAAACACCATCTCTACTAAAAAAAATACAAAAAACTAGCCGGGCGAAGTAGCAGGCGCCTGTAGTCCCAGCTACTCGGGAGGCTGAGGCAGGAGAATGGCGTAAACCCAGGAGGCGGAGCTTGCAGTGAGCTGAGATCGCGCCACTGCATTTCAGCCTGGGCCACAGAGCAAGACTCCGTCTCACAAAAAAAAAAAAAAACAAAGAAAAACACTACAGAATAATCAGAAAAATGATCTAGGGGACAAAATGATAATATCAACATAGAGAAATTATATAAAATAGCTAAACAGAAATTCTACAGATTGTATTGAAAACCCTGCAGTAATTGTAATTTTAAAAATCCACCGAAGGTTCTACTGCAGATTTGGACAGGCAGAAGGAAAGCATGAGCCAACTTGAATATAGGACAATTAAGATAATGAAGCCTGAAAAAAATAAAAACAACAATGAAGAGAAGTGAACAAAGTCTAAGGTACTTGTGGGTCACTATCAAGCAGACTAACGTATATATTATAGGAATCACAGTAAAAGAGAGAGACAGAAATTATTTGAAGAAATAATGGCAAAAAACCTTCCAAAATTTGATGAGACATGAATCTATAAATCTATGAGCTCAAGGAACACCAACTGCCGAAGGACAAAGAGAATCCTGCAAGCGGCAAGAACAATGCAATTTGTCCAGTACAAGGGATCCTCAATAAGATTATCAGCCAGCTTCTCAGCAGAAACCGTGGAGGTCCAAAGGCAATGTATATTAAAAGCACCAAAAGAAAAAAAGCTGTCAAAGTATTCTTCAAAAGTGAAGGAGAAATTAAAACATCCCCAGACAAACGAAAGCTGAGGGAGTTCATTACCAGTAGACTTTCCCTATAAGAAATACTAATGAAAGTCCTTCATGTTAATGTGAAAGGCGGCTACACAGTAACTCAAAGCCCATACAATGATAAAAACATCTCTGGTAAAGGTGAATACATGGGCAAACATAAAAACCAATATTAGTGTAATTTTTATTTATAATTCTACTTTTTATTTTCTACAGAATTTAAAGGACAAATATGCAAAATATCAACCTATCTTAATGGGTATACAATATAGAGGAATGTCATTTGTGACATCGAAAAAATAAAGGGGAGCAGATACGTAAAGCAGTAGAGGTTTTACATGCAACTAAAGTTAAGCTGTCTACTCAAAACAATTGTTATAACTTCAGGATGTCATATGTAATCCTGATGGGAAACCACAGAAACTATTTACAGAATGTGCACAAAAAGAATTGAGAAGGGAATCAAAATTTGTGACTACAAAAGAAAAAATTAAGTAAACACAAAGAAAGGCAGCAATGAAGGAAATAAGCAACAACAAATAAAGCCATAAAACATACAGAAAACAAACCAAATTGGCAAAAATCCTTATCAGTATTTTAAGTATAAATAAATTAAACTCCAATCCAAAGGCACAAATCTGAAGAATGGATAAAAAACATGACCCAACTATATGCAGCCACAAAAATTTCACTTTAGGTCTGAAGACAGAGAGAGGTTGAAAATGAAAGGATGGAAAAAGATAATACATGTCAATAATTTAAAAAGCTGGGGTGGCTCTACTAATTTTAGGCAAAATAGACTTTAATGTAACAATTATAAGCATATATGTACCAACACTAGAACCCCAAAACATATAAAGCAAATACTTGCAGAATTAAAGGGAAAAACAGACATGTCTACAATAATCATTAGAGACTCCAATATCCCCCTTTCAATAATGGATAAAACAACCAGTATAGAATCAATAAAGCAATAAATTACTTGGGCAACACTATAGACTGATGGGACCCAACAGACATGTTTAGAACACTATACCCAACAACATGAGGATAAACATTTTCCTCCAGTGTGCATGTAACATTTTGAGACAGAACATATGTTAGACCATGCTGACTAATGTTTAATGTTCATTAACATTTATTAGTAAGTCTTAATAAACTTAAAGACTGAAATCCTTCAAGGTATCTTTTCTGACTACAATGGAATGACCTAGAAATACCAGAAAAAAAAAACCCAGAAGATTAATGAACATGTAAAAATTAAACAATATACTCCTAAATCCCAACGGGTCAAAGAATAAATCACAAGGGAAATTAGGAAATTATCTGGGACAAATGCAGTAAGAACACAAAATTTATGGGATGCGATGAAAGCAATGCTGAGGGAAATTCATAGCCGTAAATACTCACATTTAAAAAGGAGCTTGCAAATGAACAACCTAACTATATACCATAAGTAACTAGAAAAAGACCAAACTAAACTCAAAGCAGAAGGAAGGAAATAAAGATGAGAGAGGAGATAAATACACAACAGAGAAAAACGAAAGCCAAAGTTTGTCTTCAAGATTAGGATTAACAAACGTATAGTCACACTAAGAAAAGAGAATCAGGGGAGGGGTGAGGGGGGAGGGATAGCATTAGGAGATATACCTAATGTAAATGATGAGTTAATGGGTGCACACACCAATATGGCACATGTATACATATGTAACAAACCTGCATGTTGTGCACATGAACCCTAGAACTTAAAGTATAATAATAATAAAAAAAGAAAAAGAAAAGAGAATCAGGTCATGTGTGATGGCTCACACCTGTAATCCCAGCACTTTGGGAGGCCGAGGCAGACAGATGACAAGGTCAGGAGATCGAGACCATCCTGGCTAACACAGTGAAACCCCGTCTCTACTAAAAATACAAAAAAAAAAAAAAAAAAAAAAGCTGGGCATGGTGGCAGGTGCCTGTAGTCCCAGTTACTCAGGAGGCTAAGGCAGGAGAATCACCTGAACCCGGGAGACAGAGGTTCCAGTGAGCCGAGATCGTGCCACTGCACTCCAGCCTGGGTGACAGAGCAAGACTCCACCTCAAAAAAAAAAAAGAAAGAAAAGAAAAAACAAATTACTATAATCAGAAATAAATTGGGTACATTACTATCAATTTTACAGAAATAAAGAAGATTAAAAGACTATTATGAACAACTGTACATAAACTATATAACCTAGGTGAAATGGACAAATTCCCAGAAACACATAACCTATCACAACTGACTCATAAAAGTATTAAAAAATCTGTACAGACTTATGACTAAGGAGATAGAATCAGTAATCAAAAAACCTCCCAACAAAATTTAGCCTTGGACCAGATAGCTTTACTGGTAAGTTGTACCAAACATGTAATAATCAACACCAACCCTCCTCAAACTCTTCCAAAATACTTGAAGAGGCGCGAATGTGAGGCCAAAACTACCAATGCCAAAATCACACAAAGACACCAAAGAAAACTGTAGACCAGTATCATTTATAACTATTGATAGAAAGTCCTCAGATGAACTAACCAAATTCAACAGTATAGTAAGAGAATTATACACCATGACCGAGGGGGATTTATTCCTGGAAAGCAAGAATAGTTCAACATACAAACATCAACATGTGACTGATGTAACACACCACATTAACAGAAAAAAAGCAAAAAACGCAAGTGATTGTCTCAATTGATGCAGAAAAAGGACCTGACATAATTCAACACATTTTCATGATAAAACCACTCAAACTAGAAGACAACTACCTTTCCATAATAAAGACCCTATATGGAAAAACCCACAGCGAACATGATACTCAATGGTGAAGACTGAAAGCTTTTCTTGTAACATTAGGAACAAGACATACCTGCTTTTGCTACTTCTGTGCAACACAGTAACAACAGTTCTAGCCAAAGCAATTAGACAAGAAAAAGAAATAAGGCATTCAAATTGGAAAGGAAGAAGTAAAATCATCTTTTGGTAGGAAATAAAATATTTTATTTGCAGATGACATGATCTTACATGTAGAAAACCCTAAAGATGCCATAATAGTAAAGTTAATAAATGCATTCAACAAAAAAGGATACAAAAATCAACATATAAAAATAAGGTGTGTTTCTACACAGTAACAATCAATAATACCAAAATAAAAATAAGGAAACAATCCCTTTTACAATAGCATCAAAAGAAATAAAATACTTAAGAATAAACAAAGGAAGCGAAAGACTTGTATATGAAATTACTGAAAGAAATTAAAGACATGAATGAATGAGAAGACATCCTATGGGCATAGATTGGAAAACTTACTA